GTGAATATTTCCTTTGGAGAAACCCAATATCTTTTTCTCAATTATTTTAAAGCTTCTTAATGCTTTCTTGGAGGTGGCAATGGGATCTCCCTCTACGCTGTTGCAGTATCATGGGCTCGGTGAGTTCAGGAGCTTATTTGGCGAAATCATTATTCAATGGAAGCATGGGTTTTCCTATAGATTCCTCTGCTCAATCCTGTTACTTTAAGGTAGTCAAGCAGGTGCCTTAAACTTGGATAATCACTCTCCCCTCCCAACACCCCCCCCCCTGGCCCCCACCATACCCAGAGAAGGCCTCTACTCTGATTCTACTGGGATTGTGGTTAAGACTGTTGGCAAGCTACCTGGTTCTCTCTGAACTAAGTGGGCTTCTTCAGTTATATTTTTAATCATGTACATTCTCAAATTCCTTTCCAATAATACAGTTCTTATTCAAATTAACCAGACATTTTTTGTTGCTACCAACAAAAGAACCAAAATAATAGTGTGTGTTTGTTTTCACCTGAAATGCTGAAAATGTTCCCTTCTTATAAGAGGAGAGGGTCAATGAAAACTTCATGGGTGGGGTGGACTAGAGTAGTAACCAAGTTTATTTGAATATGAAATCATCACATTTGGACTATCTGAGATACTCAGACAATACTTAACACCTCGTAAGTGATTATTGTACCTATGTTTCCAGGTATTTCTCTATTAATATCCTCAAGGTCTGATTAGTGAGGATGAAGGTAAGCCATCAATCTGTACCTTTTTGACTCAAATAAGGTCCATCTATATAAAATAAAATAACTTTCTTCAAGGTACCCCCGAAGCATTTCCTATACTCAGTAGGCAAGGTTGCAAAGAAAAGCGACTTCCTGAGCCCAAACTGAAGACAAGCAAACGGACTGCCATCGAGTCAATTCTGACCCACAGCGATCCCACAGGTCAGAATCGAACTAACGGCCACTGTGGGTTTCTGAGACTCACTCTTTACAGGGATAGGCTGCCTCCCCTTTCTCCCAGGGAGCAGAGCTGGTGGCTTCAGTTTGCTCACCTTGAGGTTAGCAGCCCAACAAGTACCCATTACAGTCCCAGGGCTCAGCCACTGTGCCCAGAGGGAGGAATTTCCTGTGTTCACATCTCAGCAGGCACTAGGGGTTTCTGTTTGTTTGCTTGTTTTTTTAAGGCTTCACAGAACTCTCAAATAAAAACATTTATTAATGAGGATATGTAAAATATTTATCTTTGCTGTAAGCAAGCAAACAAGCAAACAAAGTATATATTCTGGACGCAGAGAACATATACTTGCGTTGTAGAAGGTGGAGCGGAACAGAGTTAAACGTTCTCTGAGTTTAGGGGAGATCAGGAGGTCTCGAGAGACCAGGGAAGACTTGGAGGGGAAGAGTAGAATTCTCTTCCTTAAGGGTTACTGCTCACTTTCAAACAGCCAGCAGATTTCACAGGACTTGACAGCTCAAGTGAGACATTCATGCTATCACTGTTCCGTACAATCAGTTCTGCAGCTGAGTGGTCCAGGACCACTACTGACCACCCCCAGTTGCCCGTGAGCCAGTTCTGAGTCCACCCTATGCCTGTCAGACTAGCACTGCACTTTGTAGTGTTTACCATGGCTGATTTTGTCAGAAGTAGATCTCTGAGAGGTACTGTGATCCACCAGGGAGGCCTTATTCAGAACCAAGAAGAAAAATCAAAACCCCAGCAAAAGGCAACCTGTTGCGGCCGAGTTGATTACAGAGTAGAACTTGCTCCAGGGGGCTGCCTTGGCTATCATCTTTATGCAAGCAGATGGCCAGGCTTTTGTTCTATGGAGTGGCTGGCTGGTGGGGCGAAACCACCAACGAATGCTTAGATTCGCATCTGTGGGCTTATCATGGCTTCAAACCACTTTATTCTGGCTCAGCCCACCTGATGAGAATTTGCACTTCCACTCGATAGGCAGCATTCAAATCTGTGATCCTTTTGAAAAAATGTAGATTCTGATTCAATATGTCTGGGGTGGAAATGCAAATTCTCAGCAGAGGGTCACGCTGGAAGGAATGGTTTGGCTGGAAAGAATGGAGCTTAACTACTTGAGTCACCCAGGCTGCTGCTTACACAGGACAGCTTCTGACATGAGATTCCAGGATGTGATAACTGAGCGATTCTAGCCTATGTCAGTATGTGTGTGCTCCTAAGACAGTAGCAAAGAAAAGAGGAACATACATTAGCTTCCTTAAAAGTAGCAATAGAGAGAGTGTGTTACAAAGTAATTTCTTTCCTAAAGTTGTAACTGTTGTGAAGAGGTCATTTATGCATGCACAAGCACAGTTAGAAACAATAAAACAAGGTTTGAATTGGAGCTCATGGAGTGAGCACCTCTTTTTATCCATTTTTAAAAAATTGTAGGCAAAAATATTTCAAACTGTTTAGAATAGGTCTTTTGCCAGAAAGCTCTGTCTCTGCCACTTGCTGTGTCTACTGGCATACGGCTAAACCGGGCTCCATTGATTTAATCTAGCTGTACTTGTTCTGTGGTACTTTCCGAACCCAGGATCCCATAGCGTTGGAAAGAATTTATTGGTTATGTCCCCCGCCTTGATTGATGGCAGCCTCCTGTCGAACAAAACAACATGCTGCCCTGTCCTGCTTCATCTTCCTGATCTTCGATATGTTTGAGTCCATTGTGTGGCTGCTTTGTAGGTCCCTCTCCCCGAGGGGGCGTATCTTTGATCCCATCATTGGAGAAAATTCTGTGGTGATCCGTGAGGTTTTCATTCGCACTGTTTGGAAAGCAGGGCACCAGCTCCACGGAAGCCCGTCTGCCCTGAGGGACCGTGATAACATTTGAAATCCCAATGGCAGCAGAAGGTTCCTGGGTAGCATAAATGGGTTTGTTTTCCAATACTGGTGGGAAGGTTGCTCTTTTGAGCTTACCCAGTGGTGCCATGAAAGAAAGGCTTCCGTAGAGTTTGTAACCAAGAAACCCCCCTGGCTCTCAGCTCTGCACCAGTAATCCATGAACTGGATTCAAGGTGACAGCCATGGGTAGCTTTTGGTATCATGTGGTTGTGTATTGATGGCCCTGTATGACTGAGTAGAACTGCCTCAGAGGGTTTCCCAACCTATAATCTTTACTGTAGCAGATTCCAGGCCTTTTCTCCCACAGAGCATCTGGGGCGGGGGTTGGGGGTGGGGGTTGTTGAATGGTTGAGCTTCTGAATAATAGCCCATTACTAAACCACAGTGCCACCGGGGCTCCAGGCTCAAGCTGCTACAGGACAGGAACATTTGCACCCTCCAGGGACTCCTAGGATAAAGCAGAGGAGGCAAAAACTATTCCCCCCCTTTTTTTTTTCAACTGGGGAGAAATTGAGGAACTTTCCAAATATATAAATGGCAGATTGGAATGCAAAGTCCCATCTTCTGACTTTAGAACAGCTGGATTCACTGGGGCGTGTTGCCTCCCTTTGGGTAAAAAGTAAATAAATTACTTAATTTAATCAAATTTTGTTTGCCAAGTTCCAGTCAATAGGGAACTTTTATTTTTATAGCCAAGAGTTATACACACTTTATACTAGGCAACTTTAACAGTAGTCTTAATCTATACTATAGCTTCACAAACGGAGTACAAAAACCCTTGGGTATATTTCCCTAGTAAAAGTATTGTTAGCGAATAAGAGCAGTTCACATGAGAAGATTTTTGCAAGTCCACTTCCTACCCATTTGGGAAAACTTCACTTGTTTAATTCTTAACTGAAATATCCTTTCAGTGTGTTTCATCTCCTACTAATTCTTTTTAATGAAGCCTAGGCATTATTTCCCGATTTGGACTTTACTGTTGGGGTGGGGGTAGTGAGGTGCTAGAGCAGTAGTCCTCAATCTATGGGTCGCAAACTCTTTGGGGGTCGAACGACCCTTTCACAGGGGTCGCCTAAGACCATCTGAAAACACATATTTCCCATGGTCTTAGGAGCCGAGACACCGCTCCTCTATCTGTCTCCAGGCAGGTCCGCCCACATGCAGTTACACCCACATACAAGTACCCGGCATGAAGACTGCTACCCATGCTATACCATGCATCAAGACAAAATTTCATTGATTTGTAATTAGAAATAAATAGTTCACAATATAGAATTGCATGTTGTTTTGTGATTAATCACTATGCTTTAATTATGTTCAATTTGTAATAATGGAAATACATCCTGCATATCAGGTATTTACATTATGATTCATAACTGTAGCAAACTGTCAGTGTGAAGTAGCAACAAGAATAATTTTATGGTTGGGGGTCACGACAACATGAGGAACTGTCTTAAAGGGGCATGGCCTTAGGAAGGTTGGGAACCACTGTGCTAGAGTAATCCTGGAGGGCTGGAAAAACAGATACCTACATTTTTTTTAAAACAATAAAACCTTTTATCTGTCAACATTAAGTCTGGATTTTTAACAGATTCTTGAACTAGTGGCTCATAGTCATCAGCTCATTCAACATTTGTACCTGTCTCATTTCTAGTAGTTTCTCCAGGACTTCCACCTTCGCCATGAAGCTCGATGAGTTTTCCCAAATCAAACTTGGGCTTGCTTCTTCAGCATCTTTACTTTTCTGACAAACACATCATGGAGAGATGAAATAGACTGCCACGCCTTTTCTCTGCCTTTCCCAATGCTGTCTGGAATAAAATTATTGACCACTTCTTTCAAGTCATTTCTCTGCACCTCTGGGGTCATGATTTCCATCATTTTCTTCCATATTCGGCAGACTTGCTGGTGCTGAGCATAAGTGGTCCTCCGAATTGGATTATTGTGTTTTTCAGTAAAACCAACACAGAATGGACGAAGCAGATGCCCATTGGCAGTCTTGACATCAACATGAGCTTCCATCACGGTCTGCCATTGTTTGACCATGAAGCGCATCTTGTCCCACGTAAGAGCCACACCAGGGAAGTTGGTCAGGAAGTGTTTGCCCTAAACATCCTCAGTAATAAGCTTCAATTTTCCAAATGCAACCTCACGGCACCATGGCGGTGGGCAAGAACAAGCGCCTTACAAAAGGTGGCACAAAAGGAGCTAAGAAGAAAGTGGTTGATCCCTTTTCTAAGAAAGATTGGTATGCTGTGCAGGCATCAGCTATGTTCAATATCAGAAAGATTGGGAAAACACTAGTCACCAGGACTCAAGGAACCAAAATTGCATCTGATGGCCTCAAGGGTCGAGTTTTTAAAGTGAGCCTTGCTGATCTGCAAAATGATGAGGTTGAACAGATCTGCATTTTATCCTGGCTTTTAGGCGACCTCATCCTATTTCTCTACTGGGAAAGAAAATTCCACTTCACATTTACCCATGGATGAATCCCTATGAGGCAGAGGCCAGACATGGTTCTATCATTCCCTCTTCTTTATAATATTCTGACTTCAGCTGTCCTGCCCACAGCACTCTATTCTCTTTGGGTTAGATCATCCGTTGCAGTGACTACCAAGAACTCACTGCAAACACTCGCGTTTATGGAGTTCACTAGAGAATCTAACAGATTCCAAGATGGTAAGGATACAGTCCTTTGGTCCATGCCCCTCTTCATGGCCAGTCTGTTTGTCCTCAGTCTCTCAGCCCTGTGGTTCTTTGGCCTGGGGTCCTTGTTCTTCTCTGCTGCTCCTCAGCCCTGTCTCATGGCTTCAGTCAGTGCTGTAGCCTCTGGTGCTTCTACTGCCTCCACCACTGCAGGTAGGGATCTGGCATGCACTCTGCCAGTGACCTTTCTTGGTGATCAGAGATTCTCTGTTACAAAGAATATAGCTATTAGAACCCTGTTGTTAGTTGCCATTTGGTTGGTTCCAATTCACTGCAACCCTGTGTACTACAGAGTATCACACTGCAAGTGTCACTGGTTTTGAGAACCCCACCTGTGTTAGTCTGGGTACTTTAGATAAACAAATCCACAAAAACATATGTATAAGAGAGAGTTTTATATAAACAGTAAGTGCACATCAAGAAAACATCCCAACCTTGTTGCCCAAGCCCACAAGTGCAGCATGCATATGTCTGACACCAATCTACAAAGTCCTCCTCCATCTCACAAAACAGATGCAATGATGCCAATTGCAGGAGGAAAGCCGAATCAGTGAATGTGTAAGCATCTCAGCGCTGGCAGCGGTCTCCACACGGCTGCTCCAGCACCCAGGACTGCATCAGGGTAGGTCCATGTGGCTTCTCCTCAGGGATGTCTTGCAGGAAGTGAGCCTTGCCAGCTGAAGCAGGGACCTGGTTAAGGCAGCTGCACCCTGGTCCGACCATCAGAAAGCAAGAGACCCGGGAACAAGAAAGGTGAGGCTCACCGAGCCATTTATCTCTCCGCCCTTCAATTAACCCCACATGTGTTTATCGGCCAGGTTGGCACAATAAACTTTAACTCACCACCTGATACAAATTCCTTGACATTATCTCTTTTCTCTGTTCGTCATGATGTTACCGATTGGCCCAGGGATGAGGATTTTGGTGTTATTTGCATTGAGTTGCAATCCATATTGAAACCTGCGATTCTTGATCTTCATCAACCAGTGCTTCAAGTCTAGGAAGAGAGAAAGCAAGTAATTTCACCTCATCCCAGAGTCTCAGATTTCTTCTCCAGAGATGGGTTCCCTTGATCCCATTCAGAACACGGAAGAAGACAAAAGCCTTTCCAAAAAGTCAACATGGGAGCAATCTGTAAACAAATTATGTAATTTCCAGAGAAAATTTTGCAAAAGTGGTCGTTCCAATGTCATGTTCCATCTCTGAAGGAGGAATACTGTCTCCTACCAAGCCAGGTATGGCCTGGCCATTGTCAGTGCAGTGCGGCCAAGTTGGGGAGCCTCACTCACAGGTGGGTTCATTAGGAAGTACAACATTTTCTCTCTCAGTTTTTCTTTTAACTCCTCTTTTCTTTGGACCTTCCAGGCCTTTCTGACCTCTCAATAACTGCTTTAAGAGCCTTTCTCATTATATTGACTAGACATGCATGAAGCACTTACATTTTGTTTCCTCTCCTTCCCCTCATCCTACTTCCCCAGCTTCTATCTGAACACGACCAATCAAATGACCTAAGATTCACAGCGATGAGAAAGGTGACCTCTATTACGCTCCTACTTTCACTGGCAGACTTAGGTTCTCTGTTGTAAAGTTGGCTTGTCTTCGATTGTACTTTCTTTCTCCTGAGAATGAGCTCTGATAGACGCATTAGAATGCAGGATCCTTATTTTATTAAACAAGGTACCTGGAAAGAAAAATATCAACCTGAAATTCGATGTCACTTGACCTTAGATTTAGGAGGTGGAGGGGATGTCGTTCTTGCACCTTTGTCGATGCACATAGAAACGGATTCTGATCGTAGTGGCCACTCTGGTTCTAACAACTCTGATCTAAGAAAACAATTTCCAGAAACGATCATTGTGTGACCTGACATGGTATGACGAGGGAAGGGAGATTACAGAATGACGAGGTGTCCTGGGCAGTACTGAGGGGGCGGGGGGTGAGGATGTGAAGTAACAGGGAGGACAGTCCAGCAGGTCTCAGAGACTAGAGTGCAGTACACTGATTTTGCTCCAGTTTCCAGTTAATCCCTGTGGACACCCCACCACGAGTGAAAATCCAGGCAAGGTTCATTCTTGACATTTTACCACCTTGTGTCTGAAGAAGAAGCAGAAGATAATGGGCCCACAGTCCCCCCACAGCCAATTCCCATGGCACCCACGCACACCAATATTGGTGCCATTCCAGAAATATGTGTGATGCTTTCTACTGCTTCTAACTTGACAAGTGTGATCCACAAATCTCTAAAGAATTCTGCTCTGCTAAATATTCAAGAGGGTGTCTGACAGAGTGATGGGGGAAAAATTAAGCAGAGACATAAAGACCAGAACAAGAGAAAGAGAATTTACAGTTATTAGAATTTATAAAAATGCAAAGAACTTTATACATACTGGATCTTATTAGGGAAAACACACTGACCACATCAATTATTGAACAAATTAATCCTTATCTCCATTAAACAATAGTCTTTTAGGAAAGAAAATAGTCAGCTGGTGATCACATGCATCCCCTATAATTTCCTTTATTTTATTTAAAACAGTTTTTGGATAAGTTGTTTGGAGAAAGTATCCTTAATTCCTAGTGAGAGGAAAGCCCCACCCCTTTTTTCATGGTGTGATGATTCTAGTCCAAAAGCAATGGCGTTTCTGGAAATGGCAAGAGAGACACTTGTTGCCATGGTGATTGTTAATAGTTCTGACTCAGACATAGTGTTGCTATAGCAACTGCACGGAAGCCCTTGGGAAGTCTTTTTTTTTTTTAATCAGCAGAAAGAGGCGAGGAAGAGCCATTTTAGTCACTTCTTACTGCACTGCAGTGACGAAGCTTCAAGGCTGTCTCATCCTGATGAGAGATCGCGCCGTTCCTATACTGATGAAGCAAATAATGTTGCACTGCAGGATAAACATCCTCCCATAGCTCATAACAGCAAGCACACTCTCTGTCTGTTAATGAATTCTAATCCTGACTGTAGCGGTGTCTGATAATACAGGTAATCTCAAGGGAGTGTCTTGAGAATCCTCAATGCCACTGGCAATATAAGAAAATCGAAGGTGAAACACATATCCGTTCAAGTCTTTAAGACAACTTTCAGTGTGTATACTTCCCTTTAAGGGGGGTGGTGGTGTACAGCTAGCAGAACAATTTGCCAGACCTGGTTTGGATGGTTTGGATTTGGGTTTGGGCTAGTAGACTGAATGCTTCCTGGCACACCCGGTTCTCATAGAAGTGATTGGCATGTAAAGGTCCTTGAATATTATGAGTGAATGGATTAGCCTATTAGATAGTGAATAATAGTATTTATTTCTCCCTAACCCATTCCTAAGGAGTTCTGGTGGTTCAGTTTAGTTCAAGATTAAGATGCAAACCAAAAAGTTGTAAAGATTTACACCCCTCAGAAACCCTATGGAGTGGTTCTACTCTGCCTTACAGGGTTATTATGAATCACAATAGCTTCCAAGGCAGTTTTTTTTTTTCATTCTTATAATCTTGCACCATAGCAAGACCTTTATTGGATGCAATTATACTTAGGAGATAAATGTGGAAAAGGTGAAATCCCCCTGTTTTGTTTTGTTTTTTGAAATCCTCTGTTTTAAGACCTCTTCCCACTTCCCAAAAGCTCACCTCCTTAGGTGTGGGGGAAAACCTATTGACTCCTTAGACAAACAGAACAGGGCCACCACCTTCCTTGGTTCATGACCCATGGGAGAATGCTGTTGCCTCAGCCATGGGAGCTGATGAAGCAATGGCAGGCCTGTCTCTCCACCTCAAACAGACACTTCCCTCCTGTTCCCAGACTAAAGCTGCACCAGGCAGCAGTCGGCAAACTTATTAGTTACTTGACGTTCCCAGCCCATGCCCCCCTCCCCTCTGTAAATAACTTGGCTGATGGGTCAATGCTTCTTTGCAAATCTTTGAATTATGAACTGCCTCTTTGTGGAATCCTGTCCTGTGTTGCAGGCCGTGTTCAGGGAATGGACTTAAGCCCATCCCTTATCAAGAGCTGGGCCTTGGAGTGTCTCTACTGCAGAGACATTGCACCCTGACTTTGGCTCTCCCCTCTGTATATAGGTTTTCTCATTGCAGATCGCGCCCTCTCAAACCTGTATGTAATGAAAGATAGGAGCTGGTGTCTACATGATCTTACACTTAGGCCCTTCACGATTTCATGCAGGTGTGTGACACTCTTCTCTGAACATGGCAGCTGCGGGGTGGGGGTGGGGTGATTTAAAAGAAGCCTCTTCTCCAACCTACAGATTAGAGCCAGTCAGGAAGACTGTCCTCACTACTGAAGCTGGACATGCAACTGAGCAGAGGGCACTCTTGGCTGAACCCCGAGACTGGCTTCACTCAGATTTAGTCAAAGCTCTACCGCCTCCTGATTTTATTTCCTTCCATGGACTCTCGGGCTAGAGTGTTTGGTCCATCGTAAAACTCCCTTGAGAGCTAGAGTAGTCTTGTTCATTTTTGTGTATTACACATGGTGGTTTTATATTTTAGGAATCAGCAAAATCAAGTTAAAAAAGTTAGTTACATCTTTTTTCACATTGTAACTTATATATTTTTAAATTATGAATATTAATTGTGGTAAAGAGTCTATAGCATGCAATTTTGTTATTTTAACCATATATAAGTGTCGACATCAATGACATTAGTAACATTCTCCATATTGTACAGTCTCACCACTATTTATTTCCAAAGCATTTTCATCACCCCCAAATAGAAACTCAGTATCCAGTAAACTATTCATTCTCCTCATCTCCTCTATGTCTAAGTCTTCACTCTCTAG